CGCGGCTGAATCTGGATGCCGGTTCCAACTTACATACAGATTCAACTTAAGAACCCCAGGCATCCCCAAGTCAGCTGCTGCTGAAACTGACCAGATACATACAGATTCAACTTAGGGACTGTAGGTTTGTTCTTATCTTGTACGTAACCCGGGGACTGCCTTTACTAACTTTAGGCTCCATTTATTCCCCCAGAATGAGCTTGTTAAGGGCATGTCTGCACTATCCTCTGGATCAATGGGCAGTGATTGATCCAGCGGAAGTCTAGTAAAGATTTAATAAATCGATCACAAAACACTCTCCTGTCGACTCCAGTACTCAATCAGAACGAGAGGAGTAATGGGAGTCGACAGAAGAGTGTCGGCTGTTGACTTACTGCAATAAGTAGATCTAAGAAAATCGACTTCTGCTATGTTATTCATGTAGCTGAATTTAGATTGACAGTCTCTGGTAGTGTAGACTAGATCTCATGGTGCCGTGAAGTGGGCTTAGCTTTTCTGTAACGAAATACCTGGAATGGTGTAGTTTCTGTGCTGAAATTATCGCTTTGCTGAAGTCAGCGGGACCACTGTTTCGCTTCTGAACTTTTTTATTCCTTTATATTTGAGCTACAGGAAAATATAATTTTAAAAAATGGAGAGAAACTAATTCAGTCCTGGGAGAAACCAAAGTCACTTCATGTGTTATGAGGGCTTCTTTTTCATTCCTGTAAAGCAGAGCTTCTCAGACTTCATTGCACCGTGACCTCCTTCTGACAAGAAAAATTACTACACAACCACAGGAGGGGAGACTAAATTCTGAGCCAAGTCCTACTGCCCCAGATGGAGAGGCCAAAATCCAAGAGCTTTAGCCCTGGGCAGTGGGGCTCAGGCTTTGGCTCTGGACCCAGCAAGTGTAAGCCAGTTCTGGTAACCCTATTAAAATGGGGTCATGACCCACTGTGGGATCCCAACCACACTTTGAGAACTACTGCTCCAAAGCCTCTACTACTGGTCACTGTTGGAGACGGAGACAGAGCACTGAATTAAATGAAACATTGGCTTGGTTCAGTATGGCAATTTCTTTGTTCTTAATATGTTTTTTCCTAAGAGGCTAAGGTTTTTGTAAATTTTAAGGATTTTTACCATGAGTGCCCTTTCAAAAACTCCCACTGCACTAAAGCACCTGAGTGTTGTGCTAGTTTATTGTCTGGCTTGTCAAAAAGCTTATTGTTGAGATTAGGGATGTGAACGGGTAACCAGTTACTGGGTAAGCATCACCCATTTAAGGAAAATGGTTAACCAGTTACCTGGGTCATGGGAGGAGGGCTACTCCAGCCCAATGGGGCTGCTGGGCCTAGAGTCAGCAGCCTTGCGCAGGGGGGTAGGCGGGTAGAATCAGCGGCAGATGGGGTAGCTGCCAGCTCGGAGGTGGCAACCCCTCTCTCACTGCTGCTTCTGCCCAGTGTAAGCCTGCCAACTCCCAGCCCTTGAGCCAGCAGCTCAGCTGTCCCTTGACACCCCGTCCTTCCCCGCCCCATGAAGCTGCCAACTTGCTGCTTACGTGGGCTGGAAGCCAGCAGCCCTGCCTGTGGCATCGGGGCCACTCCAACCCAGCGAGCTGGAACTGCCCTCCTCCCCCACCTGTTCCATTTAATAAATTAGCCAATTAAACTTAATGTTTAACCAGTTAACTAATTAAGTGGGATTTTACATCTGTTGTTGAGATGCCATCCCTTTTCTAGAGTACATAGTTTGTTGATGTGACATAAAGAAGTTAAGAAACCAAATATGGATTTTCTTTCATAATAGCTCACGCATGTCATGACTGGTGTTTTGAAAGACAGTTGGAACCTGATTTTTTCAAAGCTGTTGTGTTTCAGCAGCTCATGTTTACGGAATGAACCCCCACCACTGGTATAAACATCAAAAATTGTGATTCACTGATATATCTTTAGACATATTTAATATCAAGCACATTTTCTGAAAATAGTTGTCAGCAGGGACTCCATTCACGGATGTCCTCAGTGATTTGAAAGCTTTTGCACCACTGAACATCCACGGGAGTCTGTGGTTCATGATTAAATCCATTTATCTAACCTAGAAGGGCACTACCAGGATTGTAAAAAAAAGGAATGAACCATCAGTCCTGGCTGATAAATCCAGTGAATGATCTGAACTTGCTGTTTTGGTAAAGGGGTTAAGAACAGTTTTGGTTGATTTTCCTCTTAATCACTTGTGCCTTTATCTGATCATTTTCTATTAGGTGGTGAAGGTATTGTGACCTTTAATCTGCAAACACTTACTGTACATCATGATGTATACCATTTATATCTGGCCTACTAATTGGCAGCTACCATATATTGCAGACATGAGTGCTTCAGAAACACTGAGAGATTAATAACATATTTTTAGTATTTTAATGATCCGTATAATGGGTAAAACTTTATTTTTAGGGGCTGATCCTGTGTCTTTCCATTGATTTTTAGTTGGATTTGGAGTTACATTGAATGTAATCAAAGTAGAAGCAATTTACAAGGGATTAATAATGGATCTTTTTATGGGAATAAGTAATATCAATACATATATGCTACATATAATCATATGTGTTATTGCTGCGCCTTAGATATTCTGAGTCTTTCTGAAAATTAATATTTGATCATAAATAAAGCGAGTATTCCTTACTTCTTTTTAAGACTGCTGCAGTGTATCATGAAATATTTGTTTATTCTGGACAGCTT